TGGGGGGGATCATGGGGTAGGAATGGATTGACTCAGCTTCTGAGCGCTTGCAGAAAGGAGTCAGGTGATGTCATCATGAAGCTAATAAATAACCCCAATGAATTATTGTTTTTCCCCTTTCAAGCCACACAAGAAAATTGCTTTGAAGCCAAAGGAAGTAGCCAAGCGCTCACAAATAATTAACCAAAAACAAAAAAACAAAAAAGTAAACCAGACACTGAATGTAGAAACATCAAAATATTTGGCTTATTTTCCTCCTCTCTTTTTCAAAAAACAACTAATGAGTAAACAGCAAAGGAAGTCACTTAATAGCAGGATATGCCACGGCAACCATATTTGCTACCCATTGTTGCTGAAGAAGCACAAGATCTTGAACTCGGAGCATAGGAAAGGGAAGGAAGGGCTCATTCAAGTACCGGGTGGTTCAAATGGTGCAAAAGGAAAACTGATCTTATTTGGGTTTGCACCCTCCTTTTGCAATCACCTTATATTAGAGGCTAAAGAATTTTAAAAGTCTACTGTTGCTTTAAAAAGAAGGCATGCCCATTCTGGGACTCAATGCATCCGGAGCCAATAACTATGGCAGGAATCAAAGGCACCAAAGAGATCTGAAGGAGGATTGGACAAATTGCCTATGATGACACACAGCTACCTTCATCCCATCCCCCTTTCCCCGCTGCCTTCTCCGGTGACTAAAAAAAGCAAAGTGAAATAAACACACTCACCACTCGCCGGTCCATGGGCACTCCCTTTGTAAAACCCAGGCAGAAGGCACAGTTTGTTCACAAACACACCTTCGCAGCCAATTGCACATTGCAACCCAACACAGATCCCTGGTCTTTGCATAAGCATCTCCAGGTGTGTGAGATCTGTAGCATGAGATCATTCTTTCAAGCAGGAGGGTGGAGAAAGTGCGCTCCTGGGACACACAAAATTGTAAGAGTTGGGCCATCTCATCCAACTCCATTCTGCCATGCAGGAAAAACATAACTAAAGTAACCCAAAAGATGCCCATCCAACCTCTGCTGAAAGGCCTCCAAAGATGGAGAGTCCACCGCTCTCCACGGCAGTCCAGAGCTGAACAATAAAGAAGGTCCTCCTAAAGTTTAAGTGGAATTTCTTTTCCTGTAGTTTGCATCCATTGCTCCATGTCCTTGTCTCTGGAGCAGCACAAAACAAACTTGCTCCAGCCTCAATGTGACACCCTTTCAAATGTTTAAACATGGCTATCATGTCACCGCTTAACCTTCTCTTCCCAGGCTAAACATACCCAGCACCCTAAGCCGTTCCTCAAAGGCTTTGGTGATTTCTAGACCTTTCACCATTTTGGTCGCCCTTCTCTGGATATGCCCCAGCTTGCCAATAATCTCCTCCTTGAACTGTGGTGTCCTGAAGTGGACACTGGATTCCATGTGAGGTTTGACCAAAGCACACCTCACTTTCTAAGGTCTAATCTGCACTGCAGAAATAAAGTAGTTTAACGCTGTTTTAACTGCCATAGCTCCTTGCTTTGGAATCCTGGGATTTCTAGTTTTGTAAGATTTGAGTCTTGTCTCTTGGACCCATGGTGACACAACAACCTACAAATCCCAGGATGACAGAGCATGGAGCCATGGCAATTAAAGTGGCATTAAACTGCATTATTTCCTCAAAAAGGAAATTATCTCTCTAGGAAAGGCACAGGAGAAGCAATTCACCATTAAACTGGTTGCACAGGCCACCTCTATCTTTTAATATACAATATAATACAAAGCCTTTATTACAGTCAACAGACCTCCAAGCAATACAAAAATTAAAAAAAGAAATAAGTTTTAACACCACAGTAGCAAATAAAAGAGGTAAATACAATATAAGTATATATATAAATAATTAGAGATAAAACTTTCTAGCCCATTTGACATGAAGAAATACCCATTTTTTTCAAAGCCAGAAGTAAAATTATGGTCACTTGTTTTTTCACCATTTTGGCCCCCGTTGGTCCCAGAGAAGAAAGTAATCCCTCAAGCTTTTTCACCATTGCCCAATCCTATTTTAAGCATTTCACAACCCATGTTTTGATATGTAATACCTAAAAGATTTTTGCAACATGCAAAGCCTTACCCTAAACTAAAGCAAGACACCAATATCCTTCTTTGCACATATCACTTGAAGACATACAGGCATACCTTATTTAACCAAGGCTCTAACAAGAAACTCCTTTTTACAAAGTCTTCTAATGTCTGCTCAGCCCCTTTTTCCCCTCATCCACTGTATAGCTAGAAAGGTTTTAGCAGCAGCAGCACTGGGAGCATGGTGAAGGAAGTACACAGATTTTTGGTGTTTGTTTGCAGTAGCACGTCTGCAGTGAACAATGCAATGAAGCTTAAGGTGAGGGGGAATTGGGATTTTACTTTAGCTGCATATGCCTGCCTATAACAGGCAAGGTAAACTGCAGCTGCCTCCAGAATCTCTTACTGAGCATGCATGAAATGCAACAAGAAGAGAACAGATAAACGCAAGAGGCCATTCTGTGAAGTACTTTCTCATACAAAAAGATGGTGCTTGGCCCTGCCTTTGAGAATTCTCAGAATAAAACAGGAGATTGGCCCGTCTCATGCCAAACCTCCATCTTTTCCCAAAAAACAGGTTACAGTGGGGGGATGGGACTACAACCCACAAAGCACTGAACCTCCTGGAATGATTATAGTCTTCTTGTATACCTTCAAGTTATTTCCAACTTATAGCAGCTCTAAAGCAAACCTATCACAGGGAGTCATTGCATTATAACTGTATTGTGTGTAGAGGTCTCGGAGTTCATCTGATTTGCAGACTGAGCACGATCAGTCATGGTTATTATTTGGATGGGAAACCACCAGGAAAGAATACCAGGGATCTAATTCTAACTTGAAACATAGGAAACTGATATTTTTTCGTATTACTGCTGCCAGATTAGAAGTAGCCAAATGCTGGAAAACTGGGTGACCTCTCCATTGAGAACTGGTGGTCTAGAATTTGGGATGGTGGTCGATGGAGAAACTGTTATGACGAGGTTTTGCATTGGCCACAAAAGGACTAACATTTCAAGAAGACTGGATGGTCTTTATTGATTATGTTCATCATCACTCCCACCGGATCCAACCTCCAACTTCACAGATAGATCTTCGGACAGACACTCTACACCTTGACAAGCCAGACTCTCTGGGTCTTGCGGACAACTAATTTTTTTGATTCTGCTACAGAATAAATACTCATCAGATACATACCTTGGGCCTTGTAGTTAGTTCTACAGACAATATGCATTTTATTGTAAAAACTCAATAAAAATTTAATTAGGGAAAAATAAAAATACCAGGGATCTCCAGGTAAGAAGGTGAGGAGAGAATCCCTGGGGAGTCCTAGCTGCCAGTCAGAGCTGGAGGCTTTTGAGACAGAAGGTTAAGGACCAGGCTTTTACAAGCAAGCCATATTGTTTTAAATTGAATTGTCTGGAATTGCCTTTTATGTTTTTAATTGCTTTTTATCCTTCCAAGCGTATGTTTAAATTGCTTTAATAGTGTGGATAGTCCAATTCCATTTTATTGTTCACTTTTAGTATGTTTTCAGCGATATTGTTCTTGTTTTAACTTGTAAGCCTCCTTGAGATACAATTTTGAGGAAAAGGGAGGACAATAATAACCATAACAACAATAGTAAGCTAGAAGAAAGAAAGACCTGACTCAATACAGTTGGCCCTCTGTATCTACGAATTCTGCATTCACAGATTCCATCATCCATGGCTTGAAAATAATTCTCCCCAAAATAAAACAACGACAAAAAGTAAACCTTGATTTTGCCATTTTATATAGTGGACCCTCAGTATCCACTGGGGTTTGGATCCACAACCCCTCCACGGATACCAAAATCCGTGGATGCTCAAATCCCATTACATACAATGGCACAGTAAAATGTCCCTTATATAAAATATTTTTGGAATATTTTCAAGCCGTGGATGGTTGAATCCGTGAATAAAGAATCCATGGATATGGAGGGATGGCTGTAATACGTAGCAGTGTTTGGCAATAAAAGTACTTTTGGGCAGTCTTGGAACTAAATCCAGTCTCAAAGCCGCCCAGATTGGATTACCAAAGGGCGGGGTACAAATAAAATTTATTATTATTATTATTATAAAGCAAGGCAGGTTGTCAGAGAGAAAACTGGAGAGAGCTCCTGTGCCTTTAATGACTGCATAGAAGAAAGAATTTCAGCAAGGAGTTGCTAGCCATGCAACCAGGCAGTGGTGTCTCTAGGGTTGGTGCCACCCTGTGCAAGATGGTGTCACCCCCCTAGACCTCCTGGGATGGGGGTGCATATGGGGAGGACGGCCTCACCCCTGGGACCCCAGCATCCTGCTGCTGCCCCCCTTGCAACTGAGACAGTAAAAACAGGACTGCCTCCCTCCCCCAAGCAAGCACAGTTTTTTAATTGCAAAAGATCTCCACCTTTAGCCTTCCCTGCCCTCCTGAAGACAATGGCACAAAGAAGCCAAACTGACCGGAAGGGGGAGCAGCGGGGGGGGGGGGGGAGAGAGCAGAGAGAAAGGTCCACAGCTTCACCCCTATACTCAGCCCCCCCAAGAGAAGTGGCATGCCAAGAAGAATACCCTCTTTTCTTTCTGAGGAAGAGGCTGCTGCCCAGTGTCACCCCTTCTGATGGTGTCACCCAGTGTGATCCGCACCCCCTTAGTGACATTACTGCAACCGGGTCACAAGCAAGCCCTGCTGAAATTCCTTCTTCTGCCCAACCATTAAAGGCAGAGGAGCCCTCTCTTGCTTTCACTCTGGCAACATGCTTCTTAGCCATTGTGTTTGGGAGCAATACAGGTATGAAGGAGCAGCCACTCCATGTGAAGTGATCTTGAAAGCAAACTGAAAAGCAAGTTGTTGTTGTGTGCCTTCAAATCATTTCCAGCAGAGGGGATTTGCCAGTGCCTTCCCATGAAGCTGAGAGAGTGTGACCTGCCCAAGGTCACCCAGTTGGTTTCACGGATGAGGAGGGATTCGAACCCTGGTCTCCAGATTTGTAGTCCAATGCTCAAACCGCTGCACCAAACGCAAACAAAAAAGCAAGAGGGATGGTTAATGTATACGAGGAAGTTTCTTTACCTACATTCGGTCCTCATCCTATCTATCCTTAAGGGAAATTTGGCATTATAACGCAAAGGTTCATGTGCCGAGCAACCCTCGCGGAAGATTCCAGGGCCTCCTATTTCTGTGCAAAGACCTGTTTTGACGTTCAGCTGGGAGACTTTCCATGGAAGGATGACCTTTTCCATGCACGGCAGCTCGTTCTAGTTAGCAGCGAAAAAAGAAAGAGGAGAAAAAAGCATCCTGGCTGAGGAGGAAAGAGAGGCAGGGCTAAATCCAGAGAGGAAGGGGGAAAAAATATAGAGAGACGAGAGAGAGAAGCCAATGCAACAATGGAGGATCAGAATGGCTGGAAGGCCTCCAGGGAAAACACAACGAAGCCTCCTGCTCATGCTGACCATCCTCTGGAAATGCCCGAAGCCAGGCCTGGCATCGGAGCAAGATGGCTGTTGGCCTGCCACAAGAACTACATCAGTGGACTCTCGCAGGCCTCTTGTTTGGACATGTGCTCCTACGGGCAACACTGACCCCATGCTGGGAGCTTATTTCTACACACACATACACAAAAGTCACAGCGTCTAAAGAAAGAAACGGAGACGCACACAGAAAGGCTTTTAGGGAGTTCCTATAGAAATTGGGCCTGAAACCATGTGCAGCATTTGGGGATGTGGATCCCACTCTTGAGTAGCAAAGGAAAATAATTTGACTGGAAGAACCCCAAATTCTGCGCTCTGAGTTTGCAGATATTTAGGGGTGCAGCTGCAGAGGGGGACTCAAAAGGAGGGCTTTCCCACCCTTTCAAAATTCCCAGCGCTGTCGAGAAATACCGTTAAAATAGTTCACAACTAGATTTTAACAACTCTTTTTTCTCATTGCTGCGTTTGCATTCCCTGGGTCACTTTGCCTGCCTCGTTTCTTTGGATGCCTAAGCAGTATTTCCAAATGCTAGTTTTATTTTCCAAATCATAGCTTAGAGAGCCAGTGTGGTGTAATGGTTTGAACATTGGGACCATGACTCTGGAGGCCAAGGTTTGAATCCTGAGTCAGCCACGGAAACGCCACTAAGTCGCAAGTCGCACGCTCTCAGCCTCAGAGGAAGGCCAAGACAAATCCCCTCTGAGCAAATCTTGCCAAGAAAACCCTATGTCTGAAATGTCTTGAAGGCACACAACAAGACCAATATCTAAGGCACTAAACCCACTAGGTGACATTGGGTGAGTCACACTCTCTCAGCCTCAGAGGAAGCGCAAGGCAAACCCCCTCTAAGCAAATCTTGCTAAGAAAGATTTGTGGTAAGTTTGCCTTAAGGTTGCCATAAGTCAGGAATGACTTGAGAGCACACAACAACAACAACAAACTTTTAAATTAGTCCAATTCTAAAAATGTGGTGAGGGAAGGAAAATTTCGGGGGGGGGGGAACATAAATTCTGATTTGGGAGGACAATGTCCTCATTTTGCCCTACTCCACCCATAGCTACATCCCTGCTGACACTGCTCAAAAATGCTCCTATTATAAAAAAGACAGAGCACAGCAACAAGAGAGATGGTTCGGGGCAGAAGCGAAGGGACTGGACTACATTCAACAAGTCCTTAATTCAAACCTCGTGTCTCTCATAAAACTTGCTAAGTCCTTTCAGCAGCCGATTCCCCCTCGACCTTGGCTCCCCACCCCAAAAACTGCCATGGGGTGGGGGAAGAATAATAGGGACTTATCTCACAGTTCTGTGGAAAACATTACCACCAAATGCTGCATGTAAAGCCCTTAGGAGTGCTTCATTTATTGCTGTTGCTGATGTTAATTTTATTTGTTTCATTATTTGTTTGTTTGTTTAATGTGTATTCTGCCTTTCTTCCAATACAGGACACAAGGCAATTTACATTACAAATTAAAGCACAATATAGGCGTAACTATGGCTGCATTCACACTGCAGAAATAATCCTGTTTTCAACCTTTTTAACTGACATGGCTCAATGCTATGGAATTGTGGGAATTGTAGCTTGTTGTGGCACCAGAGCGCTTTGCCAGAGAAACTAACATTCCCCAAATTCCATAGCACTGAGCCATGGCAGTTAAAGTGGTGTCAACCTGGATTATTTCTGCAGTGTGGATGCAGCCTTAGGCTTTCCTGGTTGCTTTATTTCACATGTGTCATTGTTAGTTCTAAATAAATAGATTTGGGGGGCATATTCAATGGTGGGACTACAGTTCTGGAGACCAAGGTTTGATTCACAGCCTGGCCGTGAAACCCACTGGGTGACCTTGGACAAGTCACACTCTCTCAGTCTCAGGGGAAGGCAATAGCAAACCACCTCTGAATAAATCTTGCCAAGAAAACCCCATGACAAGTTTGCCTTAGGGTCACCATAAGTCAGAAATGACTTGAAGGCACACAACAACAACAACAACAACGGAACCTATCCCTGTTATTTTTTGTCATTTCTGCCTCTGCTACATAATTTTCTGTTAAAAGAAGTTGTACCCAGAAGCAGATCTAGTTTGTTAACTGAGATATACCTGTATCTCCCTCTACGAGCCAATCTGGTTTGTAAGTTCTTTGGGAAAGGTGTTCCCTCCATCCCATCACCATTACAGGTACCTTATTTTCCTGTGTATAAGACTACTTTTTAACCTGCAGAATCTGTGGTTAAAGTGGGGGGGTCGTCTTATACGCCGGGTATAAGGATAAGGAGGATAGAGGTGCTAAAACTCTATATTTTGACTGGGAAAATGGGGGGGTCGTCTTATACGCCGGGTCGTCTTATACGCCGGAAAATACGGTATGTTTGGTGAGAGGTTGATCCCTTTCTTCCTACTTTATTGTCTACTTTCTTTCTGTCAACAGGCAAAAACCTTTTAATTTAGCCAGACCTTTGGGTCTTAAATTACCTGTGACAGAAGACTCTTTTCATGGGTTACATTACGCCTGTATCCTTTTTATTATGTTTCAATGTCCTTTGCAATTTTTTACACATATTTGTTTCTCACAGAATTGTTCACTTAATGTTTTGGGTTTTGTGGTATTTTGCTTTCATTTGTTGTAAACCGCCCTGGGTCCTGTAACGGGAGAAAGGCAGGTATAAATTAATTAATGTGAGTTCATGCATGCTCAAGTCCACATGTGGAAACCTTCCCACATTATATCTGCGCATATCTTAGAGCTTTAAATATTCCAGGAAAAGAGGCAGAGTCGCGGCCATCTGTGTCTTCTACAACTTTGCTTACACATCAAAGAACAAAGCTGTCGACTAGGCCTTGCTTCTTCCACAACCGCTCTTACGGATGGGGCTTTGTGAAAGCCCCATCCATACACACATACAAACACACATCTAAGACGACACATGAGCTCACACAAATGTATCGCCAGATGACTACATGAAATTATACGACTGCATATGAAAAGCCTACCATTTCTTTCTAAATATGTGCATAGCAGAGAGCATTGCACACACAAAACGCCTCTCCTCACCGCAACACAATCAATTTGTTGTATCTACTTGTGACTGCGTTTTCTCCCTGCACAAATACGGAGGTGGCTGCTATTAAAGGCTTGTTACTACACACAGATTCTTCCGTCTTATCTGCATCACACATATAGAGTACGCGCTTCCTTCAGCTAGAACCTCAAGAGGTGCAGACGTTTGGCCGCCTCTAGCTCTGTGCATGGAAAACCATGATGGTACAAAGAGAAGAGAGAGAAAGCCACGAGTGAGGATTCAGGGGCATTTCAAGGGTACGAGACAGGAGAAGAGAGAGACAGGAAAGCAGAAAAGTCAGGGTTGAAATGTGTTTATGAAGAATGTGGACTGCTAGGGCACAAGAAAAGGTGTGAACAAGAGGGAAATATGGGTGATACACAAGATGAGTCGGTGGGTGTGTATGAGACAAGGAGGTATGGCTACAAAATGCACTCTGTGTGTCAGGGGAAAGAGGATAAACACAGGAAGCATGAAGAAATTTGGCCTGTGTAGGGCAAGGCACGGCTGGGGGCTGTGTGAGGGAACAGCCAGAAGACTGCAAATCAAATACGTATGAGGAAGAATCCCAAGTGTTGCGCTGGTGTGTCTATAAAGACAGTGTGCAAGCATGTCTACGGGGCCTCATCGTCAGATCGGAAAGACACGGGATGGAAAAGATGGTATGGAGAGATCTGGGGTTAATCATTCTCCAAGACCAAGCTAGAAAGAGGGAGGAAAGAAAGAAAGAAAAACTAGTGCACTTAAAGATGGCTCCCAAGTATCCAGATTCGGTTTCAACACCAGCATAGCCCTCAATGCTAAAGCCTGAGGCCAGTGGCTAAGAATTTAAAATAGTTCCACAATGCTGGCTTGGAAGGCCACAACAGCAGTTGAAGGTGTGAGGGTTGTGGGTGTTTGGCTGAGGAGGAACAAGCAGCTGAGATGGCCTTGTCCTGTCAGCAGGACAAAACAAGAGCGCTCTTCCTCCAAAGCTCCCGTTTCAGTCTAACATGGCTTCCGCAGGAAAACTTGCCACTGGTTTGTGCCGAATGTCAACTAACTGTGCGTGGCTTTCATGGGGATTTTCTGCTTCAGGCATCAAGATGACTTAGGCTCGATTCTGACAAACCATAGCTCGGAGGACTACGACTGCGAGGGAGATGAGCTTGGCACGCCAAGGCTGCAAGTCTGCACCCGTGTGCCCCCCTCTCATGCGCATGTGCCCGTGACAGATGTGGGATGCAGTGAAGAGAATGGAAAAAGCTGCCAGGAAGGTACATCAGAAAAACAGGAGAGGAACTTTGAGGCACATACGTATGGATTGTTGTTCAGGCTTATGCAGGGAGCCAACAGAGAATTGCCAATTAACACAAAAGGATCTGTTTATCATATTATGAGGGAGAGTAATGCAACAGCTATTTATGGGACTGCCTGAGACTCTGAGGAAGGGTAGAACAGAGCTATATGGCAACATACACACACGCAAGGCAGATGAGAGGTTGGAGAAAATTATCGT